TAAGCCTTGGATGACACGGACTGAGCTGAAGGAGTTATGATTGCATGAAGCGGAAGCAAATTTCTGGATAACAACACTGCGGGTACCTTTGGATGCGTACTACTACCTCATAAGCGCAGTCCGAAATATGTTTGGCGAAGTGCTGGTAATGCTCCCTCCGTAGCGGGACAGAACGCGGCCCAAACTGATGAACGTCAAAATGGAGATGGATCCAGCAACATGGTTCATAGTGGAGGATGAACTGACGATAGAGGCGCTGAAAGGAGGGAAGTGGAAGGTAGACATCGTCTCCCCATACACAGACTGGTGCAGAAACTGCAAGTGTGATTATCATACCGAAGAGAAGTGTCCAAGGAACCGCCAGAGCGACCGAAGAACGGGACAGGGCGGGCTGAGACAAGGGGGTCATAGGTCATGTTTTCAGCAGTACCTACAGAGTCAACAAAGGACAGCCGACCAAAGAGGAAGAAATACAGAACAAGATCAACGTGGCAACCACGGGCATACACAGCTACACAGCCGAAGTGCATCGAGACAACTCGAACCACGTAGCTCAACAACAAGAAGGGAACCACACGAGAGAAGAGGAATGCCACCACCGCAATCGGAGCTACCACTATGCAGAAACCAACGCCCGGCTCCTCAAGAGTGGGGAAGGACGGGAGAAGAACCATTGGGGCCTTTCGTGAGGTCACCATGGCCGAAAAGAGAGGAATGGCCCGGAGGAGCCCCAGTCAGACAGGAGGAGATCACCAACATGCACCTGCTCACACATAGGGAACACAACCATATGTAGCAGAGAGAACTGTGTCATTCGCAAAGGGACTGGTACCCCCCGTTGGAAGGCGGTTCCACCGGGCTTGAGAGAGAGAGATAGCGGTTTACATTAGGACCCCTATCATGTGGAGAGGAACCAAATAAACCGGATGGTTCATCAGCCGGCCTATCCCCAGGCCTACTACCCAGTAGGAACGCTGGACTAGAGGAACCTTGGTCCACAAACAGGTCACAAAGATTGGGAAGCGCCCGAACCCAGTTTTCTATCTGGAAGAAGAAGCAATAGGTAGGGGGCAAACGGAATAAGCATGAGGAGAAGGGGCGGGGCCTGGAGGAGATGGGGCGAAGACGACCCAAGAGACTTAGGGAGGAGAGAACAAGTGAGAGAGCAATCCAGAGACTGGAGAAGGAGAGAAACAGACCAGAGAGGAGGTATGGGTGGTATGAGATCAGGAGAACCAGAGAGGTTCGGGGACCAACAGGGTGGACACACGGCGAAAGGACCGACAGGCAGGGAGGAAGTCCCTAGGTTCCGTCCAGAAACCATTATGGAAGGAAGGGATCAACGGGAGATGTCAAAATCGCACGCATCATCCGAATCAAGGGTAAGATGGGGAAGTGAATGGTTAGAGGAAAGATCATCAGAGGGGGGAGAAGGCTTTCGAGGTGGGGGGACGAGGAGGAAGGATCACAAAAGAGCTCGGCAAACTCAGGAATACAAGAGTTAAGGAGCAGACCTCAACCTACGGAGGATCGAAGAGCGGCCTCAGCAAAGAGAGGACAGGTGGAGATTGCCAAAAGAAGACTGGTCCCGATTCTCTGCACCATGGCAGAAGATGGCACGTATTTCCTAGGAATTGAGGATGCTGAGGGTAGGATTGTTATTCCATCTATTGAGATGGACAAATCACCCCAGTGGGAATCCGTTGGACTCGGATGGAGGCCATCAGCGAGTCAAACCTTGCACAACTCGAAGAAATCGGAATGATCCCAGGGGTTTCAGCAGCTATCCTGCTGAGCTTGAGCACAAAGCTGCCAGAAGAGGAGGGACTAATTTCGGAATTTATGCGAGAAAGTCTCACCACAGATTGGACAGAAAGTTCACAGGTAAGTGGATCAAGATGCAGCTCGAGAGGAAGCTCAAGAACCCAAATGAGAACCTCCTCCCGCTCTGCACAGGGGAACAATGACCAGCTCCAGCAGCAACAAGGTCCGCAGGTACTCCGAATCCAATCTCACCTAACGGAAATGGTACGGAGGGATGGATAAAGTTAAGGTGGCATCATGGAACGTTAGAGGACTAGGGGATACCACAGACAGATGGAAGAGGAGGAGGGTAAAAACGTGTGTGCATGACAGGGGGATCAACGTTCTAATGATGCAAGAAACAAAGCTGAACGAAGACAAACTCGATTCATTGGGGCCATGGTGGGAAGGCCCGCAGGTTTGGGCACCAGCTCAGGGGACAAAGGGAGGAGTGGGAATCCTGTGACACAGGGACTTACAAGTTAGGCTCATAGAATCGAAAGCAGACATCTGGGGAAAGTGGGCGTGGATGAGAATCGAAGCGGGGTCAGAAGAATGGCTACTCATGACAGCATACGCGCCGACACAAGTGAGAGAAAAGACTACCTTTTTCAAAAATTTAATCAGGAATATTCCGATGGTGGATAAGGTGATCCTGGCAGGGGACTGGAACGTATCGCTAGACGAGGCACTGAAAACGGACTCACATTACGCAGACTGAAGAGACGTATGTGCCCTGCTAGACTTGACAGATGAGTTGACAGTAACAGACCCATTCAGAATTCTAAACCCGGATGACCCAGGCTACACTTGGATGTCACACGTACGCAGGGACAGTGGCACTGTCACTCGACGTAGGTAATAATATTTCTTGATAAACGAAGAAGTGCTGGAACAAGTCACATTTGTCCAACAATTCTCTCACCCAATGTCGGACCACAAACCGGTAGTAGCCAGTATCAAACTGCAAGGGGGAATAAAGAGAGGAAAGGGCTTCTTTAGACTGAACTCACAGAATCTTGAAGATCCGGGCCTGAAAGAATGGGTGGAAAGACATATGGTGCAGTGGGAGTCGGCCAGACGATACTTCGCCTCTGCAGCAGAATGGATGGACAGGGGGATCAATATTGCTTCAAAAGTGATGGAGGTGAGCTCTAGGATACTGGCCAGGAAAAGAAATTGTCAAGAAGCAGAGTGTAGGAGGAGAGTGGAAGAGGCAAAAAATAGAATGGAGGGACACCCGATACCGACACTGGCGTGGGCAGCAGAGAAGGAGAGGAGAGTCGCAGAGTGGGACGCGCTGTAAGCCGAGAAAGAATGAAGATGGAAGACAGTCTTAGAAGAAAAAGGCATAGTGGTGCACGACAAGATGACTAAAGAGACCTTCAAAAAGCTACAACCTAGAAGAGCACTACAACAGATGGTGGAGCTGAAACATCCACATGATGTCACAGCCCCACGGGTGGCCACAACAGCAGGTATGTTGGACTACGCTAGGACCTACTACCAAGACAGTCTGACAACGAGGAGACCACAAGATGACACAAACACCGACCTCACCCTGGAATCAAGAATGTGGGAAAGTACAGAGGCCAGCCTGTCAACCATTGCCAGATTGGACTTGGAGAGACCGTTAACACTAGAGGAAACCACAGAGACACTGAGATCAATGGCAAGAGGCAAGTCGCCGGGTAGAGACGGACTCACTGTGGAATTCTACGCTAGGAACTGGTCAACAGTGGGGACAGCGCTGGTGAGAGTCTACAAGAAGTGCTAACAGGAGGGAGATTGGGGGAAACAATGACCCACAGAGTCATCACAATGCTATTCAAGAAAGGGGATAAGGCGGACGTGAAAAATTGGAGACTGATATCCCTACTCAACATCTCCTACAAGATCCTCGCGAAGACATTGGCGAGGAGGCTGGCCGGCCACTTACCGGACTTAGTACAAGGTGACCAGGGGGCCTTTGTGCAAGGGCGGTCAATCTTCAACAACATAGTGACCGCCATTGAGGTGTTAGAAGTGGTACAGTCAGAGAATGTGGACGTAGCAGTGCTCCTCCTAGATCTCGAGAAAGCCTATGACAAGGTGGGATGGACCTTTGTCCTCACGACGCTCCGGCATATGGGTTTTGGGCCGGGCTTCTGCAAATGGACGATAGCAATGTACACCTGTGCTACCGCTTCAGTTGCAGTCAACGGGCACCTGTCTCTCCCGTTCAGATTAACGAGATCCTTAAGGCAAGGTTGCCCACTTGCTCCGCTGCGTTTTGTTCTGCAAATGGAGGTCCTACTCAATAGAATCCGAAGGCACCCAGATATCAGAGGGCTCCAGTTGCGAGAGAACTCTGCGTGCACCGTCAAGGCCCTGACGGACGACCTATTCACAGTTTGTGAGAACTCGGTATCTACCCTATACGCACTTAAAGAAGCCATGGCGGAATACTCTGCACTCTCCGAGGCATCAGTCAATTGGTCAAAATCAACGTACCTACTGCCAAAAGAGTTCTCACTAAAAGTGGAATGGGGAATGCGCAGGGTGGAGGAAGGTGAGGAGGAAAGATTTTTGGGCGTCCTAATCAGTCTGCAAATCAGGGAAACGACACAGGGAATTCTACTACAACACAGAATAGCAGCAAGACTCAATCTTTGGGGGCAAGCATAGCACCTGTCAATTATAGGAAGAGCACTAGTGGCCAACATGGCGTTGCTCTCAATCTTATGGTTTGTATGCCAAGTACGAGAGTTAGCGAACAGTGTGCTGACGGCAGTCCGCAGACTGATTGCACGATTTCTGTGGAAGCCAACAGCAAAACAATCCGAAGGATTCTTGATTAAGGTTGCCTGGGAGACCCTAACCTTCACAAGTGAACAAGGCGGACTGGGGATCATGGATCCAGCCACAAGAAACCAAGCACAGTTGCGCACATGGCTATGTAAGGTTGCAAAGACAGACCCGAACGAACATTGGGTACTACTCGCAGAGAGACTACTAATGAGAGATTGGAACCTGAGTCGCCCAGAGGACTCCTGGGCCTGTTTCTTCGTGCCCTCTTTCTGCAAAAAGAAGCTGACTTTAACCTTCTGGAATGCAGTTCGCAGCCGGACACTCAACAACAACCCAGCACTAAGGAAGAAGTCTTGACACAGATCATATTCGAGAACCCCAGCATCAAGCAACCGAATGGAGAGATGCTGGCTGCAGACAGGTCAGTGTCAACCTTTGGCCAAGCGTGGATCCGCAGGGGAGTGGTGCGAATCAGAGATGTGTGGTCAAACCTACTTGGGGGCTGGAAGCCTCTATCAAAAATAAAGACGAAGGTGACAGGCCTCCATGGGGTGAAGGACCACTGGCTTAAGGTAATACAAGCGATACCGGAGGAATGGAAGGTCATCTTGGGACCGGAAGGAGTGGATCTTCCGGGAACTTGGTACAAAGCTGTAGAAGAAGAAGACCCGTCGGTGGTATGGAAACTAGTGGAGATTCAGCCAAGTGGGTTTAGGAGAGTGGAACGCTGGAGGGCTGCAGAACATACCAACACGCTGAGTAGAGTGGGGGAAGAGACTGTCATGATCTGGAGCAATACAAGCCAGATCAGAGTGGTGGAGTCAGCAAACCAAACCAGGAGAACAAGAATCCTGAGGTGGACAGGCAGAGTGCCGTTGAAAGAACTCGACATGGATCCGCTAGCGTGGAGCTGGAAGAGTGAGGGAGACCAAACTGCAAAACTAAGTCTAGCACAATACACGGTGAAGGAAGGATTCAGAGTAGTGAGAACAAGCGGAACAGCACCAGCCGCGGTAGCAAAACACAGATGGCAAACACTTCTAGGTGAGGAGATCCCAGAGGCGGAAACCAAGTTTAACAAATTATGGAAAACACTCCACCGACTGCCAAACGGGAAACAAGTGAGTCTGTTATGGCTGCTATCGCTACTAGTAACCCCTTCTGCAGCCTGGCTACTGAGCAGGGGAATGGTGGTGGAACTTCGCTGCAGACGATGCAACTGTCCAGCCTCCAAGAAATTGTGGAAGTGGTGGGAATACCACTGGAAAAAGATGGGTGGCAGCGGTGTGGAGTGGGAAGAGAGATGTGTGCTACTTGGTTTCTCACCACCAGAGCTGAGCGAAAAGGTGGGCGCTGGGTATGTAGCACAGGTGGTCAGGGGCATTCTAGTCGAAATCATCTGGGCAGATAGGAACAGAGCTCGCTTCAATGAGCGTCCTATGTCAGATGTGGAGCTGAAAGGTAGATTCAAAAATGCAGTCAAAACAGCGATTCGTGTAGACTGGAGAAGAGTGGCAAAGTTAGGGAGAGGAACCAGGAGGCAATTGAAGTGGTTCAGGCAAACTTGGGCAAGGAGAGGTCAGCTGGCAACAGTACATCCGACTGCAGGGCTCTCGATATCTAGATGGTTACTAGAACTCCATAATACAGGGAACTAGGCTCAGACTAAAAACTAGGGCACTCGGTTCTATAGGGTCACAGTGGACCACGTAGGAGAGTGTCGTGATAGGAGGACCAGGTCCATTGGGCCGGGGTAGTCCCAGGGCCGCTTTAGGCCCAGTAGTGTGGGTATCACTACCCAGGTCAAGGAAAAAGGTGGTTCGAGGGTCGGATTCGGAGGTCAGTCACACGGGAAAGGTGACTCTGTTGCAGAATAGAGTGTCAGCTGAGATGGCCTCCTTGAGACAGGTAGTATAAGTCTGAGAATGGTAGCAGCTGGTGAAGTATAGGAAGATAAAGAGAGTAGTAGCTGGATGATGTCAGGGAACCTACAAGGAAGTTGAGATACAAACCGTTTTATGTTCTCGGGTCCCAAGTGGTCTCGTCAAAAGCAAACACTGGGTAATGCTCCCAGAACCGGGTAGAATTGTGAGGTCCCCGGCCTCAATATGAATTTTGCAATATGAAATGATGATATCTTTAAAAAAATAAAATAAAAAATTGTAATACTAAAAAATATTTCGAATTTCAGACTGCAGATTATCAAAGAAACGGAAGGAAAAAACAAATTGAACTGAAAAAGAATTTTTTAGTCCGCAAGTTCAGGTAATTCCGAATTTAGAAAAAAAAAAAATCGGAATAATTGAATTATAATTCAGATGAGAGTATGCGCAGCAAATTTCGATTTTGGGATATAGAATCCCGAAACCCAACTGTGAAAAGAGATTTTCCGAGAAAGTAAAATTTCGGAATACTAAGCAACCGAAAATTTCGAATTTCGGAAAAAATGTAAGAAAATAAAAAAATGCAGCTACTAATTAATGCGTGATTAAGAATTAATAAGAAAAACGAATTATCGCAAAGAAAGAATTCCGAAACTAGAAAAAAAACATTTTCGGATTTATCAAGCAGCAAATTTTCGAATTTCAAGAAAAAAAGAATCGAAAATTTCAGCTACTGCGCAATTTCGGATGTCACAAAAATTTCGAAACACGAATCTGCGCCAAAGAGAGAATTCCAAAAAAAGGAAAAAAAAATCGGAATTGGCCTAGGCTACCAGCCAGGCCAGCCCGTGCAAGGACCAGGGAAGGTCCCAGCAAAATAATAATAATAATAATAATAATAATAATAATTAAAAAAAAATCCGAAAATAAAACTATATTATGCAGAAAAATAAACTGAACAGCTTTTGCCTCAGGGTCACATCGAAATTCTTCACCAAATATAAAATAAAAAATAAAATTTAAAAATATTGTTTTATTTTTATTTTTTTGGCCCGGCCGGGCAAGTGACCCCGGGCCACTCTGGTAGCCTAGGAATTGGCAGTTAGGTCATGAATCGCAAATGGGGACTAATTAGGTTAACGTAATCAACCAATCAATCAATCAATCAATCAATCCATCGATCGATCGATCGATCAATCAATCAAGCAATCAATCAATCGATAGACCGATAGATCGATCGATCGATCCTCCCCAAAGGTCAGGTTGACGTCCTGATTCACGCGTGGGGCTCCGATACCAACTGATACATGTTCAGTTGAGCAATGTATATGGAGCTAAGGATCCGCAAAGTGATGAGAAGGACTCGAATGGACAATACGGCGTCAGCAAATCATCAACAAGCAATGTACATCCAGATACATGTGAAAATAGCACAATGTAGCCCAGCGGAAGACTCAAGATATGACCTGACCCGTCAGATACTGACGCGACATCCCATCATATGCGACACATGTGAGAGAGGGAGGAGGGACCGCATACATGGAAGAAAGGTCCCTCCTTTGTTACATCTTCGACTCACACGGGCGCTACCGGACCCGACTTAGGGCCGGAGGGACACACCAGGGCCTAAAGGCCCGACCTTTGAGGGTCACAGGCCCTAAAGGCCTGATTTTGGACAGCCACCCATCGGGTAGGCCCAAACGACACTTCGTTTGGGCCTGGCGGCGCTCTTAAAGCTGCCGCCCGCCGATTGAGGCTGAACCGTCCATCTAGACAGTTCAGGGTCTGGCCTGGTCTCGCAGCATTGAGGCCAGACCAATGCCTACCGGTATAAGTACCGGTACCTGCCTCAGTTGAGGCATTGACCTACCGGCATTGTACCGGTACGGTATGGTCAGCGCCAGAGCGTTGTTTTGATGCGCTAAACTTAGCGCAGGGGCTGGAGCAGGAGCGCAGCATAGCGCAGCAGCGTGAGGAGCAGCAGCGGGCGACTGAGTTACACGGCGGTTCTCACCGCCTGAGGTACCGGGAGCTTGGAGGATCTCTCCTCCTCTCCCTCGCCAGTCCCCTCTCTCTCTCTCCTCTTCTTCTCCTCTTCTTCTCCTTCTTCTTCTCCTTCTTCTTCTTCTTCTTCTTCTTCTTCTTCTTCTTCTTCTTCTTCTTCAGACTGGAGACCATCCAGTTGGACAGAGATCAGGGTTGGATTTCGGTGATACGAGACTGTGGTACTTACCTGATTGGAGACTTGGAGATTGTTGAGGTTGATACTCGGCTGCATCACAGCTGGACACCAGTTACATATGGACTCGGTTATCTCCGACATTGGTGACCTTGGGTCTTCAACATTTTGATCTTGTTATATGACATTCTGGACTACTATTTCGGAGACCTACCTTGTGACCTATCGTTGTGATCTACCTCCTACCTCCTTCGTCTCTCCTCCCACCTTTCATCTGTGTGTGTGTACGGGATCTGGGTATCGTCTATGCATGACCCAGACCCCCACCATCTCATGATTGTATGTGTGTGGAGTGATGCCATGTAGGTCAGTCTTTGTGAGTCAGTCTATGTGAGTCAGTTCGTTATCAGACTTCCGCTGCATAAATGCTCATCCTATAGTGGTTGATCTGTGGTTCTGCCCATACTCATTGAAGTATGTAACAATTTTTGGTATCGGAGCAGACCAAAACGGATCTGCTCACCAGGTAAGACCGTTTTAGAATTAGGTTATCACGTTTGATCTTCTAAATCGGCGCTGAAGTATTATCAAGTTCAAAGTTGGAAATTTTCTTTTTTTTTCTTCTTTTCGGTATTCTCACTATTTCGGCAATTCCGTTTCAATTCAGTATTCGGACTTTAAAAATTCGGATTTCTGTTA